AAGAATAATTGAAGCTATGTGAAAATTGGCACAATTCAGTTTTTAAACAGCAAAATGAACTTTGACAGTATGGAACTACATTTTCTAGTTTTTACTTTTATGCCAATAAAAAACCAATACAAATACTGATGTTACTTTAATCTCTCATATACTCCACTAATATCATTTACCTCTTATAGGGCAGAAGGAGGTTCTGGTAGAAAACTAATTCCAGAGGGTCCATTAACACAAATGGGGTTTCTTTCAAAAGCATTTTAAAGTAAACCTCTTAGGTTGTGTGACCCGAAACCACACAAACAGTCAGGACCATAGAATATCTTTTTTCATCACAATCCTTGCATTTTCACCTTTGGAATTACCTTATTTTATTTATTTATTTTGTAGCTGGCACTTGCCAAAGAAGTAATATTTCTTCCTGGAAGGAAAGAAAAAGGCAAGGGAGGGGAAAAAAAAGAAAAGAACAAGCTATTATCAAGAGAAAAGCCCCACTCTGGGAAAAACATACAGATTATACTGTCCAGTCTGAATTCTGATTTAGAATGCAAACTAAAATATAGTTACCTATTTAAGAGACAAGTAAGCTTTTTTGGGGTGGGTGGGGAAGCACAGGGTGGTTTAAATTAACATGCTTTCCAAATAACTATACGTAAGGCACATTTATAAATGAGATTTTATCTGAATGCTGATTCATATGACCAAATCACCTTAATCTACCTTTATTTGGTACTTTGGTACTCATCTACTAAATATACATCTCTTCGTTCCCCATCCATTTTTGATCCTATCTCTTCTTGTCCTACTATTGGACACACATTCCTTTACCTACTCCACTGCCTACTCAGCTTTCTCTGTCATATAATCAAGCCAGATTTGTGGTGACACATACTGACATCTTTTTGGTGACACATAATAACACATACTATCTTTTTTGACAATTGCATAAACTAATGGATTCATGCCAGAAATTAAACTTTGCAAAATAACAAAAATAAACAAAACAAACAAAAATTAGATGTCGTCTTCATTCTTCTTAGATATGATATCATCTCAATTAGGGGACATACCAATCCTAACAATGGAAATGTAAAGATGCCAGGTACTAAAACTGAAATGCTGTTGAATTAGCATTAAAAACTGAAAAAAATTCAATCCAAGAGTGAAGGTGAACTTTGTGCTGATCTGATACTACCCATTAATTGTCCTTGTGCAACCAATTATCTAGCGGCTCAACAGTGGCATAAAAAGAAAATGCCGTGAATGCAGTTTGTAGCAAAGATGATATCCTTTGGAAAGGATTCAGTGGCTTCACACTGGTGGGGCATTCCTGATCTGTAATGTAAGTTGGTAGGCCACCAGAATACCATATTTCCCTTTTTACATTGGAGGTGGGAGAAACTCTGCAGCTTTCTTCTTGTGACAGGCTTTTTACTCCTTGGGAAAATAAAGGCTGTAACCCTTTGGTCTTGTGGAAGATTAGGCACTGATAATAGCAGTAAAGATACTTGCAGGGTGATGTGAAAGTGTTTTGAGGGATTGAGGGTAGGTGAATGGAAATAATTCTAATGGTTAATTGCTACAAAAACTCCTGCTTTTTCCAGATACCCATTTGCCTTTTTCCTGACCAAGGAAGGAACAGGTAAGCAATCATTGCTGCTTCTTCAAAACCACCACTTGATTTTTTTTCCCATTGTGGTGACTTACAGTTGAAAAAGAACAAAATACAATCTGAATGGAAGGGAACGGGTTTCACCAATGCAAAATATTGTTTACCTTCTATATACATGATCCATTCTCTTGAGCAATGCAGCAGGAAAAACAGACCTCCAGAAGATACAAGGGATCAGTTATTCCTTGAAGTTATTCCTTCATAGTTTTTCAACTTGGGAGGACTAATTCAGCCCATTAAGACTAATCATCATCTGAACGACTGTTAGGAAATGAGCAAGTGAGTAGAGAAAAAACTATATTTTCAGTCATTAGCATCCTATGCTGTCATACATCCAGTATAAAAGAGGTAAAATAAATGAAGAGGTAGAGACTTATTGTCTTCTTGGCTTGGTTAGCATGATACATAAAACCATAAATAATACAGCCACATTTTAGCAAAATATGTGTTGCAAACTTAGTTTTAATAGTATATAGTTCATTTGATGTAGAAAACTTAAAAAATGGGTCAATTGCTGAAATCATTCAGCAATGATTTTTTTAAAAACAAAAACTTACACACACACACACACACACACACACACAACACCTGATACTTCTTGGCTAGATCTCAACCTATTTTGGGCAGATTTTGCTGGATGTTGAGCATTAAAGAGTTAAAGGTTTTTTTTAGAGAATTTAGAAACCCATGGAAAGGAAAACCACTATCTGTAACATTAAATTTTCTAAAAACCTTGAAAAGTGGTCTGAAGTGACCTTTGGCAAGAGGTGAGAAGATAAGAACTTGTTTCCTAGAGAGCTCTAGATCCTAATCTTTACCATTAAGATTCCAACAAAGAAAAAATAATATTCAGTTCCTTTCCTTCCAATAATGTCATTATATTATTGGAAGGAAATCACCAAGAGTTTTGGGTCTCTCTTAGGCATGAAAACTGGTTGGTGTCTTCGGACCAGTTCTTCTTTCTCAGCTCAAATCAACTTGCAGGATTGTTGCGGGAAAAATAGAAGGTGGGCATATTACATATGGTATGTTTGCCATCTTGAGTTGATGAAATATTAATGAAAAGGATAAAAATATAATACAGGTTGTCCTTGCTTAATGACCCTAATTAGGACCAGCAACTCTGTCACAAATCAGAATATTGCATGACCGGGCCAACTTACGATGGGTTGTGGATGTTAAGCAAGGCAAAACATCACATGAATATGATTTGCAACCTCTTGCCAGCTCCCCCATTAACTTTGTCAGAAACTGGCAGTCATATGACCAAAGGATGCTGCAATGTCATAGATACATGAAGGTTGTCAAGCAAGTCATGCAAGGACCTGTTGTAAGTCAATTTTTGTAAGCCAGTTGTAACTTTGAACAGTCACTAAATGAATGAATAAGCAAAGAAATGTGATAGTAATAATAAACCAATCACAGTGGCTTGGTTCACATCTAAACTCAAAAGTAATTGGTTACTTTGTAGTTTAATCTGTTGTGTAACTAATCATGGAGAAATTGCTTCTCTTGCTTCTTCTGTAAAATAAAAGAACAGGCAGTCCTCGACTTACAACACTTCACTTAGTGACCATTCAAAATTGCAATGGGACTGAAAAAGTGACTTATGAGCGTTTTTCACACTTAAGACCATGGCAGCATCCTCAGTCACATGATCAAAATTCAGACGCTTGGCAACTGACCCATACTGACAATAGTTGCAGGGTCCTGAGGTCATGTGATCACCTTCTGAGGCCTACTGTCAAGCAAAGTCAATGGGGAAACTGGATTCACTTAACAACCAGGTTGCTAATTTGACAACTGCAATGATTCACTTAACAACTGTGGCAAGAAAGGTCGTAAAAGGAGGCAAAATTCAGTTAACAACCAACTCACTTAGCAACAGACATTTTGGGCTCAAGTGTGGTCATAAGTTGAGGATTAGCTGTCCAACCAATGCCCACGTAAAAGCAGGTGTTCAAAACCAGGATCTTCTCATTGCCAGCCAAAGGCATTTATCTTCTTCTTAAGTAGGGCTGCGTCAATCCAGAGCAGGAATAACACCCTCCACAATGCCCTTCCTCGCCCCAAAGGAGGCTTATCAGCTCCACTATGCAGAAACATTTATTTATTTTTATTTATTTATTTTTGTCAATTGCTTACAAAATAATAGGTATAAGTAAAAACATAGTTATGAATTCATGGATACATATAAGAAAAATAAAAAATAAAAATAAAAGAAATAGGACAGGGACAGTAGGCACATGGTGTGCTTATGCACGCCCCCTACAGACCTCTTAGGAAAGGGGTGAGGTCAATAGTAGACAGTCTAACATTAAAGTTTTTGGGGTTTGGGGAAGAAACCACAGTCAGGTAGAGTATTCCAGACATTGACCACTCTGTTGTTGAAATCGTATTTCCTGCAATCAAGTTTGTTGCGATTAACCTTGAGTTTGTATCTTTTGTTTGCTTTTGTATTGTTATGGTTGAAGCTGAAGTATTCATTGACAGGTAGGACATTGCAATGTATGATTTTATATACTATACTTAGATTGGACTGAAGGTGGCGTAGTTCTAGATTTTCTAGGTCTTCGAGTCTGGTGGCATAAGGTATTCTGCAACGAGTAGAGGAATGGAGAACTCTTCTTGTGAAATATGTCTGGACTTTCTCAACTGTGTTAATATCATATACATAATGTGGGTTCCAGACTGATATTCGAGTATTGGTCTAGCAAATGTTTTGTATGCTCTAATTATTAGTGTAATGTTACCAGAGAAAAAGCTACCTAAGATTAGGATAACAACTCTTAACGCCTTTTTGGCTATGTAGTTAGTGGGCTCCAGCACTTAGGTCATTAGAGATGAGTACTCCAAGATCCTTGACAGAGTTTGGATCATCAACAAGGTCTTGACTATTCAGCCTGAATTTTATTATCTGATTTTTTTGCCAATATGTAGGACAATATGTAGGACATTTGGATCTCCAAACATTTGGATCTTCAATTTATAACTGCCAGTATGCATTTCCTACCGTTTATTTCCCTATGACCTCTTTTTTCTGCCCGCCCCCCCAATGATATTAGCTAAATCATACGCCAAAATGAAACATTCGATTAAAAAAAAGGGATGCAAAAAAATTCTTTCTGCAGCGAAATAAGACACGTCCCACCCGAAGATGCAATTCAACTCTATCATATTTGCTTCCTAGATAGGCTTTTATTGCCTCTCCGTCGATCCTCGTAAGTCTATGTTTTACTACATGATCCCTTCTCTCTCTCTCTCTCTCTCTCTCTCAGTCTAGATTCCATCCATCGAACGTTTACAGACCAGGTGACCTATAGCCCAGGAAGGAGTTGTCGAGGTAAAGCTTCCGGTACAGTGCGTTGTTTAAGAATCATTCTGACCATTCCCGGCAAGCTGTGAAGTCTTTGGCTGTTTTTTCCTCACCGGCCGTTACAGCTTCCTTGCGAGGCTCGTGTGAGTTGGCTTGGCCTTCCTCCTCGGCATGCTCGGGCAGAGGCGGTCTTTTCTCCCAGATTATGACCCGCGCTTTCAAGTAAGTCCCGGAGCGTGTCACCCATAAAAGTCTTTAGGGCTCTTTTTTCTCGGGTTTTTTTAGTTGCCCTTAACAGAAAAGGAGACCAAGTGGGTTGGTGGCACTTCCGAGGTTTTGCTGTAGAGGAGAAGGCGAAGATGTCACGGGGAGAGCTGTATTGCGGCGAGAAAAACCGCACCACAAAAGGCTTCGGGGTCTTTTAAAAGCTAGCCGGTTTCCAGGACGTAAATTCTCTCTCCTGTCACAAGTTATCAAAACAAACAGAAGCTCGACCCCTTTATTCCATGGTTCCTAAATTCTAGATTTGCTTCCTTTGACGGTTTGAGCATCCATTATCTTTGAACCATCTCGGTCATTAGTATTTGGATGCGTTTATTGTTTTCTTTTGCGTTGCCCTTCAGTTATGTTTTCATCAAAAGTGCCACTGTCTATGGAGACTTCTCAGTTATCCAATCACTTGGGTTATTCCCAAAGGTGCTTTTTTTTTTCAAAAGGCTACTGGAAAAACAAAGTCCACTTGCCTTTTGAAAATAAAAAGCACCTTTGGGACAAAGCAGCCATTGTCATCTTATAGGAGTAGAATAAAAAGAAACTTGTAATAGAGGAATCTTAATGAAAAGTCTTTAGAAGCATAGTATGCTAAAAAGCATACCATGATTTTAAAGTTTAAAGTTTTTAAACCCAGCTGCAAGAAATATATTTAATACATTTAATGACTTCTAAGCTGGAGAATTGCAGCAAAATGCGATGTACCTTATTACATTTCTGTATGTTTTTGAAATCAATGCTTCAAATTCTAACAGTATTAAAATGTACTAGATCTTTCTGCCAAGGGTAAAAGGTTCATTGTTTGGGATTTATGACATAATGATTTGGAGAATATAACTTCCTAGAGTTTCTGTCTAGCAATGGATGCTCCATATGATGGCGGTGAAGTAACTGTAGTCATGGAAGAGATAGAAAGCACATACACTTATTCATCCCCAGTGCCATCTAAAAAGAAGAAGAAATATAGAAGTCCTGGAGATCAAGGGGAAAAAACTAAAAAGCCCAGGTGAGTGATTTTTTTTTACATGAATAATCAGTTGCTTTTTTAGAATTGTTATTCCTTATTTTGTCTTAAATGTTTTATAACCTTTGATAATAAAGAAGTTGATATGTTTACACATATGCATATTCAGCAAAAATCAAACTCTTCTGTGGTTAATGGCATTTATTACAGAATTAATGAAGAGTGTTGTGAAATTATGATGAGTTGTTAGATATACCTAGGCTTGTTGAAAATCAGATGGGTGGCAAATAAATTTCATAAATGATACCTTGTTTAAAATGTTAAAATGTTGAGCTATAGTTGCATAACTAAGAAGTGAGTAATCTTATACTCTTACTTGGCAATAATGAGTTTCCTTGAAGTTTCATTTTTTTAATTAGCAATTTCGTCATGCTTTCAGTTACTTAATACTGTTAGCATTTTACTTAAAAATTGTGCTTATAGCTTTTGCTTCTTAAGTAACTTTTTGAGAGAAATGATTATAGAAATATATATGTATACTTTATGTATTTTTATTCTTATGAAGATACATATATTTGTACCTCTGAGTTTACTTTTATTTTTTATTTATATGCTGCCCATCTTGTCCAGCAATAACATGGGCAAATGTTGCAGACTTTTTGGCAACATTTTATGGAATTGTTCTGTCATTGCCTTTCTCTTATGGGGGAGAGTGAGTGATTGGCCTAAATGCATGCACTAGCTTCATGCTTAAGACAGAACTAGAATTCATGGTCTCTCAGTACCTTTAATTACTGTACCTAATTGACTGTCTGTGACTGTTGCAGTGTCCTGGGGTCCTGTGATCCCCTTTGCAGCTTTCAGAAAAGCAAAACCAGGGAAACCAGATTCACTTAACAACTATTTTACTGATTTAACAACTGTAGTGATTCACTTAACAAATGTCGCAAGAAAAGTCATAAAATGGAGCAAAAGTCACTTAAAGTTTTCACTTAGGAACATAAATTTTGGGCTCAATTGTTGTAAGTTGAGGACTACTTGTATATCAGGTTCTCAAAGAGTTTCCACTTGGCACTGAATAGATTCAAATTAGCTCACAGAGCATGGTCATTGTCAAGAGTGGGAAAAACTACTGCAAAGCATCTGGAAACCATCAGATTGCTTGCATCTCCAGTAATGACAGACACATTAATTGAATATGACCTGTTTGTTACTTGAACCAAAGCAAGTCAAGGTAAATATATGAGAAATAAATTCTATTACCTCTTTAGTAAAACTGCAGTAATAATACATTAAATATCTAAAACTCTTCTGTGCTTTTATGATTCCCCAGATCAACTGTCTGAAGCAGCCACTACATTTTATCAAATGACAGGGTTGGCTCTATAGCAAAATAAATGGACTGCTCTTGGACTGCTATATTACAAAAGCATATTCTCTATGGACCTGACTTGCATGCAATTGTCTAAAGGTGCTCTAAAAGTTGCTGTTTCAAAGTAATTGCTTATTAACAAAAGGAAGATTAAACACATAGTAAATAATGGTAACAGAATTTAGACCAGCTGACTACTTTCTTTAGAATGAGAGATGCCTAACTTAAGATAACTTTTATTATTTTTTGTGGGCACACTGGTCCACATTAAAAATGAAATTCTGTTGCCTGCCCTCAAGAGAAAGTATGTATCTACCCAAACACATACATAGTACATATATACATGTTATATACATAAATATATACCTGCACCCATACATATATATACACACATATATATATTAATGTCCATTTTGAGTTGACCATTATATACCATAGAAGGTAACAAGGAAAACAATGAAGAGAACGTGTAGTGTCCCACCCAAACAATCTCTGCTCATATGCTCATATGCTATGTCTTGGATAGAAGGAAGTGAATTGCCAATAATCTTTTCTGTCATCCTTGCCACTCTCTGCACTGCCTTGTCTGAAGCAGTAATGCTTCAAGAATGCTATAGAAACTTTTTTCATGTAATTGAAGGGTCAATTTTTGTCTGTATTCAAGAACTCATGAAGCAGTAGCAGAGAAGAATTTGGGTAATATGGGTGTTTTAAAAGTCACCATTCTTTTTCAAGAAATTCTGCTTAAGAGTTTCTCATTCTTATTGCTCTCAACAGTATCCTGAAAAGAGTCACTCTCCCATGCTTTTCATCCTAGATAGCAAAACAAGCCATTATCATTTGTTTTATTGTTTATGAGAATATATTAAAAGCAAAGTGTCTACTCCATGGACCATAGACTAAACAATGGTGCATGTCATTTACTTGTGTCTGTTTCATGCCATATTGTAATTCTTTGGCGGGGAGGGGGGAGATGTACCAATCCTTTTGGGCACATCTGTAAGTTAAAAATAAGATTTTCTGAGATCAGTAGGTCTTGCAAGGGAATATGGTTCTTTAGAATTTGCTTGCACACATAGTTCTGGGATGTTAATTGAACAAAGCTTTGTCGTCCTAGTCTGTATAATTCTGTTAAAAAGTTTTTGTCATTGTTTATTGAAAATTCATGTGAAAATGTAGACCAAGGGTAGAAGGATAATTTGCTTGCATTATAATTTGAGAGGAAATTAGAGAAATATTTTGCTTGTTTTTCAGATCTGCATATCTTCTGTATTATTATGATATATACCTGAAAGTTCAGCAGGAGCTCCCACACCTTCCTCAGTCTGCAATTAACAAGAAGATCAGTGAGAGTTGGAGGCTGCTTAGTGTAGCTGAGAAAAGTTATTATTTGGAGAAGGCTAAGTTAGAAAAAGAAGGTCTCGATCCGGTAATTAATTTGTTTATAATTATGCTTGTAAATCTGCAGGTCTTTTGTGTGCATGTATGTGTTTACATGTATTTTGTATATACTGTATCTATTAAAAGCTCAAAAACAAATAGAATGCTGTTCTTAGAATTCCTCTGGGGGATAATTACATTTCGATGAATTTCTATTATAGATTTGTAGTCATAGGATGTTTTTGTATGGAAAATTCCAAGTTCATGCCCTAGGAATCTAAACACCTGCAATATTGGACACTAGTATTCTTCAGTATTGATTGCAATGTTGAAGAGCTTATTAATAGCAAACAGTAAACTTATTGCAATATTTTATATTTTGAATCCAGTATTTATTGAAGATTAGTTTTGACAAATACATATCTTCTATAGGAAGTTTTACCAGATAGTATTCTTCCAATATTAGTTTTCCTGTGTGTGAGATGACTAATATATCTCAGGAATTCCATCAGTTTCATAGCTTATAGTGTTAATAACAGTAAATATAATATAATTTATTAAATGTTTATGCTGTCTGACCCTCCACATTACTGGGCAGCTCACAATAAACAAATTACAATTAAAAACAATATTTTAAAAAGATAAAAAAGGTGTCAATCACAATAAAATGTGTCTTCCTCTTCCTCACAGAAGGCCAGATAAATATAGTTAAAATTAGAAAAGGTGAGAGGGGGAAGATGAAAAATTTGCCTAGAATAGGGATATTTTTGCCTTAGAAAGCTGGCAAAGAAACCATTGAAATACAGCTAAGCTGATGACTCCATATTCTGTCTCTTTTTTTCATAGAACTCAAAGTTGTCTTCCCTGACTGCTGTAGTTCCAGATATTCCAGGTTTTCGTAAAATCCTCCCTCGTTCTGATTACATAATTATTCCTAAAGGAGGTCTGCAGGATGAGAAGAATAAGCCACACGTGGAACTTCATGTGACCCAGGGCCAAACAGCATTGGAAGGACAAACGGCTGCTACTAATGTCAGAAGTATTTCCCATGGTACTGTGCAGAACATACTTTCAGTGGACTCCAGCCAAATTGGAATTTCTGAGCAGTGCATTGCCATTGAAGGGGTGTCTGAAGATCCCACCTCATTTGTTCAGGCAGATACAATAGAAGAAGTTGTCGCATCAGAGATCTTGTCTCGTTATGTCAGACCTACTGCACATAAAGTGGCTGGTGATATCTTCCTGGACGAGGAGGCCCCTTTGGAAGCAGGAGATGGATATCCCTGCCAAGCAACCAGTGTGGTTATTGAAGAAACTTTGGTTAACACCTCAGAGGCACCAAATGGGAGCATGACTATGGCACAGCCCCAGGCTTCACATGGCCTTTCTGTGGTAACAGTGGTGACTAGGAGAGTAAGTAAAATGCTCCCTCTTAATGTTCTTTTTCTATACTTCTGCCTAGTCCAGGTCATATTTACTAGCAAGTAAATGCCTAAATCATGCCAGTAGTACATCTTCAGTAGTACATATAGTAGATAGGATTGTTAACTATTTTTTGGAGATAATTAGTGCTCAGAAATTGAAAGAATTGCATTTGAGATCTCAATGAACTACTTGTGAGCTGTTTTGCTACAATGTGTCCTCAGAATTTTAAAATCAGCTACAATGTAGAAAACAAGCAGTTTCATTACCTCTATCTTCTATTTCTAGGATAGAGAAGAAAGTAATTCTGCAACCCCCACTGCACAGTACATTATGTTGCCTCTGACAGCCCATTCTGTTTTGGAAAATCCAGCATCGATCAAACTGGTCAGTAAAAGAAATGCTGATACCAGGTCTATTGGAAGTACATATTATTCAGTAACTGAATCATAAATGTATCAATAGATCATTGAATATGTCTAGGATAAATTGAACACTATTCTAAATTGAAGCATTTTTCTATGGTCTCAAACTTCCCCATATATAAATTCTGAAACCAAACACTTTCATCACTTTACAAAGAGGAATGGATTTGAATTTATATTGAAATGTGCATATAGGTTAAGCAAGACTGCCTCCTGGGTTATTTTTCTCCTTCTACCTGAGGAGTTGATAGACCAGACAAACTAGGTGAACTGAATCCTCTGGTGCTATATCCCACTTTATATAAAGTCCTTATCTTTAAACTGTTTAAATAGACAGCTTTCTTTAAAGATTTCCAAGGAGAGATGTAGTTCAACTAATAAACAAGAATTCCATTCTCACTCTTATTAGGAACAAGCATTCACAAATAAAATGCAAAATCATTTTAAATGCATAGTACCGGTATGTACTGTGTTAATGAAGGGGTAGATATTTTAGATTTTCTAGATATTTTGTTCTAGATATTTTAGATTTTAACTCCCATGAGCTCCAAAAGAATGTAAATTTTAATCCTGAACATAATAAATGATATTTATTCCCTATTAGTTATGCGTATGAGATGTGAATGGACAATAAAATAAAAATGGTTTGGGGCTCAGAATTGGGTGCCTTGGCTATGCTAGCCTGCATCTATTAGCTTTGGTGTGTAACTTACAATCCTTTGCTCCATTCTCCCCATCAGATACAATAGCCATAGTCTTTAATACGTAAATGTTCAGAACCATACTTCTAATTATATCATATATCTCTTTATTGCAAATTAGGTTCTAATCTAAAAATGAACATGGAAAAACATTTACGACTATAGAGAAGAATTTCATATGACTACACACACACACACACACACACACACACACAAATTATATTACTTCAGATGTTTATTTTGGTGTTTTGTAGTTCTCAATCCATGTTATTGAAATTTCTGATGCTTAAATTCAATTTGATCATTTGAGGCATCTGTCTAGTTACTTACAATCCAAATAAGTTATTGCTGCCTGGTAAAATCAACTTCCAAGAAAAAAATGACTGATATATTGAATAGTCTCCAAAGGCATAATTTCTGATTTACAATAGTTAATGTTATACTCCAAAAGGCCTGCAAAATTATCCATGACTTTTACTGATTTTGCTACTAAAGAGTCAGGCTAGTATCATTTTGTCATCTGGAAGCAAGGTGACTTTATATTCCGTATGAAGCATCGCAGGATCCCGGTAAGGCTAGCTTTACTTCCTTAGCTGTAGTCAGTTGTCATCCAATCTTTAAAATGATGAGTGCTTTTTCCCCTACCCCAAGTGCCATTTAGGATTATTCTCCAATTCATAAAGCAGTAAAGACTGTGGTGAACTCATAAAAGAAGTCCATATATTTGCCTAATCTTATTATATTTCTAAGTGCTTTATTTGTAAAGAATTCACTTCAATTAATGTACAATCTTGGCAGGGAGAAGTAAACTTATGCTTTTCTCATGAAAGAAGCAATATATCAAATCAGCAAAGGATGCAGTCAACTTTTCTCAGAAAAGTTTTACTTTTCTTTGTTGTTTGTTCCTAGATCCTTCCTGCTCTCTAGTAGCATTGGCTAATTTTTTTGGCAGTACTGGGTAGGATAAAAGTGGTTCTACACCATTTTTAGCCTGATCATTTATCATTGCAACTTTGATTTTAAAGCTAGGCTATTTCCTGGAACCAGATAAGATCTAGATTTGTTAACAGTTACTTTAATTATAGAATAACATAAGTTTACTTTTTAAGAAAGAGTTGAAGCACTATAAACACAAAATAACATCTTGTTGAATCACCTTGAATCAAGACATATCTAGAAAAAAAAGATTTATAACCAACTAAAATTCTTTTTATTTTCACATTTAAAAATATAAGAAAAAGAAAAGAAATAGAAAAAATTACAATTTAGCTTAAATTGAGTAAGATTCTTAAAATAACACTCAGTTATTGTAGTATTGCATATAAAGGTGATCTTTATATCATTCTGATACTTTACACCAATATTAAAATGAAACAAAATCACAGTAATTAAAAAAGCCCATATGATAACAATAAATCAAAATGGGCAATTAATAAGAGTTTCTTTCTGATCCAAGATTTGTCCCAATTAAAACCAGTGGCACAAACTTTAAAAAGACAGGAAAGAAAAAGTTGTTACTCAGTTTGGGTATTCAGATATTAAATATAAACCCATTGCCCTCCATAATAAATGTGATTTGCATAGCTGATGCAATGTAATCTGTTTTCCCCCCTTGGGGCTCAACAATAACCATGTCTTTGCATTTGATTGCTTTACATACTTTCTTATGAATAAAATAATTTCAACTTATATTACAGTTGCTGACTCAATGTTTTGAGTTAAATATTCCTGCTTTGTATCTATAAAAAATAAAATTCCATAATACCTCTGATTTTAGATTCTGTGTGAAAATTATACAACCATTTGAAAATGCAACAAGAGACATTATAATACAACTGGTAATAAAATATGGATAATGAAAACTAGTCAGCATAATACAAGTTTAATTAATATGATGTGACAAAAGCAGCTATATTGAGTATTTGTTCATTCTGCTCCCAAATCTTGAATAAAATTCTAATTCCTGCCCTATGTAAGAGCAATACAATACTGAAAGATGAGATCATCCTAGATCATATATTTGTCTTGAGCAATAACTCATAATGACATTTGAGGTAGAAACGAAGCTACAAATATTCTGTTCTATTGGAGCAAAGCTGCTTATTGTGTCTTATTATGCCATTTAGTTTTGTGAAGTAATCTATATCCTTTCATTTCAGACAACTACTTACACTCGTAGGGGGCACGGAAATTGCACCAATCCTGGCTGTGCCTTTACTTATGTTACCAGACATAAGCCACCAAAATGTCCCATGTGTGGAAACTTTCTGGGAGGGAAATGGATCCCTAAGGTATGGTGAAATTAATTTTAAAAATATGACATTGCATTGAAGGTGTTTTATTAGTTTTGGGTTGGGTCTGTAAAATATTTATGTGTTACAAAAATATTATTTGTACAAGTAATCTTTTAAAATATACTTAGGATAATGAGTACTGTAGCTTTGAAAATTTATTTGCTCATTATAGCTAATTTCCAAGGGAAAAATGCGTTAGGATGTCTTCTACCTTAACTGAACTAAATTTAATTATGAAGTAAATTATTTTGAAATTCTAGGTTTATTTTAAAAATACAGTTTATTGTTTGTGTATATAAATGGGTTATGAAGATGGATTTGATTCTTTATTCAAAGTTTTGTATTTCACTCTAATGATTTACAAATTACAAATTACTTAATACAAATTAAAATCAAAGTCATAACAATAGAGAAAATCCTGTTTCTTTTTTTTTTTTTTTAGAAAAAGACTTTATTAGTTTTACCTTTAAAAGAACAACACAACTACAAGTTATGTACAACAAAAAGACAAACAGGCCTTAGCATAGGCCAAGAGGGAAAGAGAGGAAAGCTTAAGAGAGAAAAAAGGGAAGAGTAAGGGAGGGGGAGGGTAGAGTAGGGAAAACAGTTAAAATAAAACCATATTTTTGTGACTGTCTGTAAGATCCTTTCTTCTTCAAAAATATCGTCGGCGGTGCTTTTCTTTATCTCTGCTTCGGAGGCCCTCGGCCTTAATTTTCCTAGAGGTGATCTATCTTTGGTTTAGCCAATTATACCAAGGATTCCAATTGTTGTAATAGGTTGAGGATTCTTTATTTTTTAATGCTTGGGTTAGTTTGTCCATTTCGGCGCATTGTAAAATTTTCTTAATAACCATATGTTCAGTAGGGATGGAAGGTAATTTCCAGCACTGGGCGAATGCCAGTCTGGCTGCGGTTAAGATATGAATTATAATATACTTCGATTTTTTGGGTATTTGTTTATCGAAAATTCCTAGAAGGAAGGACTCTGGTTTGTACTCAATTTGTTCCTTGGTTATTTCCTCTTGCCAGCGCCTAATTTTTTGCCAGTACTTCTGGGTTTCCTTGCATGACCACCACATATGGAAGAAGGTACCTTCTATGCTTTGGCATTTCCAACAATTGGGGCTCGTGTTGGGGTGCATCTTCGCCAATCTCGAAGGGGGCAGGTGCCATCTATAAAACATTTTATATGCGTTTTCTTTATAAGCTGCTGATTTCGTGATCTTAATGTTCCTGTTCCAGATCCTTTCCCATTCTGCTAGGGTAATGCTCTGTTCCACGTTTCTGCTCCACGCAATCATATTTCCTTTGACAATTTCTTGTTCTAGTTCAGTTTCTAATAAATGTTTGTAAAATTTAGATATATTTTTTTTGCTCGGTCCTAATAGAATTTTGTCTAAAGTCTGTAATTTATTGTAGATTCCAAATTCCTTAATATCTTGTTTATATCTACTATGAATTTGAAGGTACACCCACTGATCAATTTTAAATCCTCGCTCTTGTAATTCTTGTCGGGTTTTCAATTTTCCTTGTGGGTCTAATAAATTTTCGTACTTAATCATTTTAGTTATATCCAAATTATTAGGGTGTACTATCGCTTCCATTGGAGATAGCCAAATCGGTATTTTTAGATAGAGTTTTTTACGTACTTTTTTTCCAATTGGTTAATAGAGAGTCCCTGATAAGATGATTGCCTGGGTTTCCCAGTTTCCCACAGAAAGGCATGCCATCCTTTCTGCATATCGTGGCCTTCTAATATTAGTTTTCTTTTGGTTAAATTCACCCATTCCTTTATCAATAGTAGGGTTGCTGCCTTATAATATATTTCCCAGTTTGGCAGGGCTAACCCTCCTCTGCTTTTCAAATCTTGTAGGGCTTTTACATTAATCCTAGCTTTTTTCCCCTGCCAAATAAATTTCAGTGTTATCTTGTTTAATTCCATAAAATTTTTTTTATTTAATTTGATTGGAATTGTCTGGAATAAATATAGAAATTTTGGCAGAATATTCATCTTAATCAGAGCAATCCTGCCCAATAAGGAAAGTTGTAATTTACTCCAGGAATCTAAATCTTTCTTGGATTGTTGGAGAAGTTTGTCATAATTGTTTTCTTTTAATGATTTGCTTTGTGGAGTTAGCCAAATTCCTAAGTATTTAATTTTTTTTGTCACCTGTATTCCCATTATTGTCTCTAGTTCTTTATTCTGGTCTCCTGTTAAATTTTTAGACATTAATTTCGTTTTTCCCCTATTAATTTTAAATCCTGCGACTTCTCCAAATCGTTCTAGTTCTTCTAATAAGTTATGTCCTTTTTCTATGGGCTCTTCCAGAAAAAAAACCAAATCATCAGCGAAGGCTTGTACTTTGTACTCTTCTGATTTAATCCTCAGTCCTCTAATTCTCGAATTTTGCCTAATATACGTCAAAAGAGATTCTAGGGCGAATATGAAAAGCAGAGGAGAGAGCGGGCAACCCTGTCTTACCCCTTTTTCTATTTTTATCGGGCCAGTTTGTTCCCCATTTATTAGAATATTTGCCTGTTGGGTGTGGTAAATTGTAGTGACGATGTTTTCGAATCTAGTGCCGAGGTTCATATTGTATATTTTTTGAATTAAAAAATGCCAATTTAAATTTTCGAATGCTTTTTCAGCGTCCAAAAACATAAATGCAAATTGTTTTTCCGGATGGGCTTCATAGAATTCTGAAATGTCTATCACTGTTCTTAAATTATTCTTAATTTGTCGAAATGGGAGAAATCCATTTTGATCTTCATGGATATGTGTGTTTAAAACCTGTTTTAGTCTATTGGCTATTATAGAAGAGAATAGTTTGTAATCTGCATTCAGGAGCGAGATTGATCTATAATTATTAATAAGTCTATGGTCTAGGTCCTCCTTCGGGATCAGCGAAATTAAGGCTCCCCTCCACGAGTCCGGCATCTTGGCTGCTAGGAGTACCTCATTGAATACTTCCAGCATCAGTGGTCCAATTTGTTCTATGATTGTTTTGTAAAGTTCTACAGGTATCCCGTCCGGTCCTGGCGCTTTATTGTTACTTTGCTTCTCTATTGCTGACTTCAGTTCGGACCATGTTATATTTTTGTTTAATAATTCTATCTCTTCCTCTCCAATTGCTTTATCATTCACTTCCTCTAGGTATTTCATTATTTTGTCCTCACAGACTTTTTGTATAATTTCCCGAAGTATTTAAAAGTGATCTCTTTTTTCTTCTCTATCTCCTCTTGCAAATTGCCCCTCTCGTCCATTAATTGGTGTATCAATCTTTTTTCTTTCGTTTTCTTAAGTTTGTGGGCTAACCATCTCCCTGGCTTGTTTGCATGCTCAAAATAAATTTGTTTAGTCATTTTCAGACTAATCTCCAATTTTTCTTGTTCCAGTAAATTTAATTTGTGTTTAGTTGTTATTAACTGATTCTGTATTCTTTGATTTTTGGGGTTCTTTTGTAGTTGGGTTTCTAAATCCTTAATTTCTTAAGGTTACTTTACTCAAAGGCTACTTTGTTGGGCATACTTTCTTTTATTTCTCATAGCATTGTAAGAGATTGTTGTTCCTCTTATAAATAATGCCTTCATTGTGTCCCATATATTTTGTTTCGAAGTTAGTTCATTATTATGAACTGAAGAAGTTCAGTTCTTCTTTCACTTTATTAGTATATTCTTCTTCTTTTATTAAGTGAGTGTTAAGAGTCCATCTTTTCTTTGGTTTTCTTCTACCTCTCCAGGTTATTTGAATTGGGTTGTGGTCAGCCCAGTCGTTTGGTAAGATTTCGCTATCTTTGATTTCATTAATTAATTCACTATTTATCCAAGCCATATCTATTCTTGTCCAAATTTTGTGTGGGTTAGAGTAATAAGTAAACTGTTCTTTTTTTGGGTTTAGTTTTCTCCAGATATCTACCAGATTCAGTTCATTCATCATATCCTTACATGGCTTCGAAAATTCTCTTTTTCCTTTTTTATTCTTACTCATGTTACTATGATCCTTCCGGTAGTCAGCAATAGAGTTAGAATCGCCAATCAGACAAATATTGCCTTTTTCGAAATCTATTATTTTTTGGTGGAGATGTTTGAAAAATTTACCTTGATCATCATTTGGGGCATAGATTACTACCAGTAAAAATGTAATGCCATTAATCGAAGTTTGTACCACCAGAGTTCTTCCTTCAGGGTCCGCCCAGATTAACTCCGCTTTTAAATCATCTCTCACATATATTGCAATACCTTTCTTTTTGTGTTTATCTGCTGGTGCTGTGAATTATTTTCCCAGTTTCGGACAATCTAGAAATTTCTCCTCACTTTTCCTAATGTGTGTTTCTTGTATGCAAATTATATCAACGTTTTGTTTTATTAGTTTGGTTAGAATCCTCTTCCTTTTAGCTCTTGAATTTAGGCCGTTTATACTGATGGAAAGGATTTTCCTTCCTTCCTCCATTTACTTAAGTCTGCCTCGCTTTTTGTCTCGTAATTATACGGCTCTCTTCTTGTGGTTGGTATGGGGATGTTTCTTCTCTTTCTTGTTGTAAGTTGTCTTTCCCTTGGGTTTGGACGGGTCTTTCTTCTTTGTTCCTATGGCGGTTCTGATCTTCCTGCATGTTCCTTTGGGTTTCCTCCCTAGTGTGTTGATCCTCCGTGGTTGTTAGCTGTTCTAGGAAGTCTTGTGCTTGTTCTATTGAATCTATTTTAATTTTTCTTCCCTTCCACGATATTAGCATCCCTTCTGGAATTAGCCATTTGAATGAGATTTCTTTTTTATTTAAGTGGTTAGCTAAAAATTTATATTCTTGCCTTAAGGCCCTCACTTTTCTTGGAATCTGCTTAAGAACTATGATCTCTTTGCCCTTATATAATATTCTCTCATCTCTGGCCATTCTAAGTATTAGGTCTCTCACGCATCTTCTTGAAAAGCGGATATGAATCTCCCTTGGGCACTTGTGACGCCTTGCATAACTGGTGTTCACCCTATAGACTTCGTCGAATTCTTTGAGTAAGTCATCTTTCTCTTTTTCAACTAGTTCAGCCAACAAACCTGCCATTAATTGCTCTAGTTCTTCATTTTTGGATTCCTCCACGTTTTGGAACCTTAGGTATGCCGCTGCTCTGTCCATCTCAAGTTGGACCAAGGAATCTTCCATTTCTCTATTAACATTTTTAAAGTCTTCCTCAGTCCTTTCTAGGTTCCTCTCCGCTCGTTCTGTCCTCCTCTCTATTTCTTTTATTTTTATTTCAGTTCTTTCCATGGCCAATTGCATTGTCCCAACCTTATCTTCAACTTTCTGTATATCTGCTCTCATCTCCTCTTTTAATTTTCCCATTTCTTCCTTCAGTTCGCTAATATCGGCTCTGGTCTCATTGTGGTTCCTAATCATAATCTCCTGCATTCTAGACATTGATTCTTGTAGGGATAATAGTGTCGCTTGCAGATTGGCATTAGTGACGGTCGGTTGTTTTTCTCCTGTCAAGGTCTCTTCTATAGTTTTCTGCGTTGTTGGGGAGGCAGTTGCCAAAGTTGTCATCAAGGTCTGGGTGTTTTTCCTTCCCGTTTTCAGGGCCGTGGTTGTTGTGGAAGTCATCTCTGATAAGATTTGTTTTTGCAATTGGACAATGTTAAGAATATTATCCCAAATCACCATTCGATGTAATAGCCCTTTAAGTGTGATTGCAAGTCTATTTACTAAGCTTACACACCAAGTTATTTTAGATCTCTTTCTTCGGCCCAATTTGTCGCTTAGGCAATTTAAATTCCAATTCAATAAAGTGTTATCAAACACTATACAATAGAATGTTATCAAATATTATGTATTATTATGTATTATGTATTATATATTATTCTCTATACTAAGTTCATATACCAAAGTGAATTATATTTAACCCCTAATAAATCAATACCATATCAAATCAAACTTATTTAAAGCTAACAAACAACTCTAGAATTTCTCACTCTGTATATACCTTTATCCTATAATGTAATTAATATTCAAGGTCCCAATTAATCTGAGTCAACCCTATTTAACAGACCTTAAAATTTTTGTATATTCAAGAGACTCTAATCAGTAAACCCTAATAACTATAATAAGCAGTTTGCCTTTACATCTATATTTATAACTATTATAGAGAGAAAGGAAAGACTAAGAGAGTAAGGGAGAGAGAAAGAGTGCGGGAGGAAAAGGGTCTTTTAGATTTCGGGGAATCACTAGACACGTATCTGTGGGGTTAGTTCCATAGAAAAGCAAGTCTGAGTTGGGGCTGGCGTTGTAGTCTTATAGTCTTTCTTCCTGGGCGCACCAAAGGAGCAGGGGGAGGAAGTGCTGACTAATGGCTGCCAGCGCTCAGCGAACAGAAAATCCTGTTTCAAAGTATAATTGTTATTGTTTGATTCTTAAAATTTAAAAGAGTTCTGCCTTTTTTTCAGAAGATGAAGTTAATTTTTCACAGGGTGCCATGTACGGTATCTGTAGCAGATTCAGAGATTACATATTTAATGCTAAATTGAGATGTTAGAGTAAAAAAGCACGATCAGATCTACTTGTTTCTTACTTCTCTAACTTCTTAATTAAAAATTGTGAAGAGTGAATTGTTTTAATTTGTCATAATAATTCTGAAGAGTCTTGAATTTGATGTTTTCATTTTGCACTATTGTTGATGTGACCCAGTTTTTCTCATCTTTGGCAACTTTAAGATGTGTGGATTTCAACTCCAGAACTCTGCAGCTTATACCTATATGCTTAAATGTAAGTAATACTAATTTGGAGAGTTTTTTGTTTTTCAGGAGAAACCTCTAAAAGGCAAATCTGAAACAGGTTCTGAACTACCGATAAAAACCTTGGGCCCGAAAAAGAATCAGTTACCATTAACCTTTGGACAGGCATTGGTTCAAGATAATCCTGCTAAATCTGTGCTAGAAAGTTCAGAAGCGGTTACCCAGCTTCTCAATGCATCCCCCGTTGAGGGGCAAATGCAGGAGACTGAATGGGAAGAAGTGATAATCTCTGAGGCTCATATTCTTGCAAACAATGTACAGTCAGAAGAGCAAGGAGGTGCCACTACCATTATTCAGCTTCAAGAGAGTCTTGCACAGATAGAGCCATTGTTAGAACAGAAGGAAAGAGAAAATGAGCCATCTGCTGAGACAGCAAATGTTCCCAGTCCTATTTCACACCCAACTTCCACTGTGAAAAATACAACAGGGTAAGTCAAATTCACATGGACCAAAAATGAGGTGCAGATTAACATGGTGTTAGAGTGCAATAAACAATTTTAGATTAAAACAAACCAATGTTTTATTCAATGTTCTCCAAGATCTTTCGTTTTTCCAACCTTTTCAGATAAAATTTTAGTTCTGAATCTATACCTATGAGTTAAAGCTGGCTATTTTCTTTATGTTTTTCTGTGACTCCTAACAAAGTAAATTAAGAATCAAGCAACCTTGTCTTTGTCCTTTAAGTTGTGACTGTTATGGCAGGGATTTCCTGTCTTAATTACATTTCTTTCTTTTTCAGCAGTGATGTAGTTGGTGCTACACCTAAGGGTCTGGAGCAAAAGAGCAAAGCAAAACCCAAGCCTTCGTTGCTGGCTGTTGCGAGGCCCATGAGAGCCATTTTGCCTGCTCCTGTTAGATTGGCAAGAGAAACTAACCAAGAACAGATATCTTGCGGACAGTCATTTAGAAACAGTGGTAAAAAAATAAGTCCAATTTATGTTACAGTTTCTGAATTGTAGCTGTGATTCATTATATTTGATGGGTAAGCTTAGATGTAATTTAGATTTAGTCCCAGAAAGTTATTTTTCAAACCCTTCATCACTTGAGCTACTGAATAGAGCGTCTGAAGTTACAAAAATCAATGTAACAAAATAAAACAGTCATAAAAAATAAAAAAAATTCAGTTGAGTTATATAAAAACATTAATGTTCAAAATTTGTGCCTAAATGCCTGAACAAAAAAATATTTTTTTAAAGTTAGTGTTGAAGAGAGCAGAAAATCAAATGACTTAGAGATGACTTGACACATTCCATCTTTCCTGGAGCACTTATTGTAAAAATTGACATGATTCAGTATGTTGCTTACTAATGTTAACATTTCCATTTACCTGTTTTTCCAAGAAGAAAATTCCCCAATAAGAATCTCAGGATTAAAGCCAAATACGCTGAAGCAGCTGGGTCATAATCCTGTTCAAGCATCCAGTGCTGAAGATCAGAAGGTAATTTTAGATTTTGCCAAAATGCGTGTTTTTCTGTTCCTCAGTTTACTAGTTAATTAGTTGGAATTCTAATGGAAAGCATTTAGAACCAGTTCAGAGTTTATACTGTAGGTACTTCTCTACAGTACCAAATGGGAGAGGGCTGAAATGATTTCTCCATGCTTCGTGGAATCTTGACCTAGTTCGGTGAAACCCCACACATCTTGGGATTTAGCAGTTTTGAGTGGAGCAAGTAATGCAGCGTAAAAAAATTGTGAACTTTGACTATGATGATGTGTTTTTCTGTCAAAAAACTTCACAGTACACCTCACTTCATGTTTCTGTCTTTGCTTCTTGTTCTCTGTCTAAAGCTTCACAGCAGCACAAACAGCTCCACATCTCAGGTCAAAGTGGTGGAAGTCAAGCCAGATGTATTCCCTTCTTATAAATATAGCTGCACTGTAACCTTGGTAAGAATAATTGGCAATTTGAAATCTGTAAGATTGCAGTACCTAAATGCTGTCTAATAAATGAACTCGGGGACTTTGTGCTGTCATCCTAGATGTTGGTATGTATTATACCACATACCCACCAGGTTCTTCCTATTTAGGCTAATTTATGGAAAAGACTGAAAGAGAGAGATAACCTTTATTGTAATTTTTTACTGCGGGCACACTGGCACACATTAAAAATGAAATTGCGTTTGCCTGCTTTCAAAAGTATACACGTACATATACACATGCTGCATACATTGGACAGTGATTAACATTTACACACACACACACACACACACACACACACAAATGTTAATCACTGTCCATCTTGAATGCATAGTGGAAAGAGGAAGCTTGAGAGTTCTTAAGCTTGATATACTGTATGGAACAAAACTCTGACTGAATCTGGTTGTTCTGCTTTGGATACCATGAAGCCTCCTCCCAGAAAGTAACAAAGAAAACTACTCATGAAGAGGATGTGTAGCATCCCGGACAATACTGCGGACCCTGGACAAGCATTGCTTATATGCCACGTCCTGGATAGAAGGGAGTGAACTGCCAATCTTTTCTGCCATCCTCATCGCTCTCTTAACCACCTTCCTGTCCGAAGCAGTAATGCTTCCAAACCTGACAGTAATACAATAGGATACTCTCGATCATTCCTCTATAGAAAGTGGTAAGGACAGGAGAAGGAAGATGTACTTTTCTCATGTGACACAGAAAATGCAGGTGCTGCTGTGCTTGTTTCACCAGTGTCTCATTGTTGAGCGACCTAGCCAGCCTAACCAGCCTATCAAGTTGGCTACCAAGAAAGAGAATAAGAAATAGTAAACCAAAGAAATTAAAGGTGTGAAGCAAAGGGGGAAAAGGAAGTGTAACAATCTAGTTCACCATTCACTAGTCCTCTTATAAAGAAAACCAGTTCGATGTTTTTTTTTTAACCTGATGTGTCCCATAATAATGCAGTGAAATGGAAATCATTTTCTGACTTGATATTAATCCATAATAATGTTTTTTCTGGGAATTTTGATAAAATTTTAATACTTCTCTATACCAGTATTAATAATTCAGATTTGATTCCATGAACACCTCCTGATTAACTATGTTTTGGATGAATAGTCTTTGCTGATTGACAGCATAGCAACCTATTCCATAGTTTTGTACTGCTGATATTTGAAAAGATATTCTGGAACATGTAGTACAGTTAAAATAAGAGTGGATAAACATTTGAGCTTTCTATATAGGATTTGGGATTGGCAACCTCCCGTGGCAGAGGGAAATGCAAGAACCCTTCCTGCACTTATGTGTACACTAATCGACACAAGCCAAGAGTCTGTCCCCGTTGTGGCTACAATCTTACCAAAGACAGAACTGAGAAAGCAGTAAAATCTGTGGTGAGTTACGGTTCCTTCAAGCTTCCTTCAACTGATTCTATGATTTTGAAGTCCATAGGACTTATCTCTGAATAAATCTGCACAGGATAGGCCCAGAGACAAAGCAAATCTCTGCCTCCCTGCAAGGTTTGACTTTGTTGTAGGCAAGAGTTGGTCTTCCCATTTCACTGGTGCTGAAGAGAGGATGAGGGGAAAAAACAGGATATTTTCTCCTGACCTTCTGTTGCATTTAGAGAAGTAGCATGAATATAAAGGGAAAACACCTGTGCTGATGATAACCAATCTTTCATTGGCCATTCAGAACTGTTTGCTCATGGATGCATTAATATGCAAGCAAGAAAGGGCTAGTCCTGAACATATTTTCAAGTGAGAGTCTGCACTAATTTTCTGAGGAAAACAATTATTTCCTATTCATATTGAGTTAACAGTTTTTGTGACAACATCATGCATGGCCTTTCTTCCCTTAGTCCAGCTACGAGATCGTGTAATTTAGTGCCAAATTGCAGTTGTAAAAATAGGAATGCAGTGTGTGAAACTACGCAGTGCAAACTGATCTAATGTTATTGTCCTGAAACACCACCACCCCTTTCCCCCCCCTTCATTTTTAATGATATCTTCTGTGATAACATACACTTTATGGCTAGAGATATGTAATACATTTCTCAGACTTAATTATGCCCATGTGACTTAATTATATGCCGCTTTTGTTAGTTTGGAATTCCATCCTTTTAAAATAATAATTGAGAGAAAGAATCAGATCGATAATGCTGAGAAATTACTGATTTAATGGAGACATTTCTGCCTCCATCCTCATCCACAAACTGAGTGGAAATTTGCAGTTTATTGTAATAGGAATCATTGTGAACAATGATTGACCATGTACAGGTAGTCCTTGACTTATGACCACAGTTGAGCCCAACACTTCTATTGCTAAGTGAGACATTTGCTAAGTGAGTTTTGTCCCATTTTACAACTTTTTTTTGCCACAATTGTTAAATGAATCACTGCGGTTGTTACATTAGTAATACAGTTATGAGAATCTAGCTTCCCCATCTGACTTTGCTTGTCAGAAGGTCACAAAAGGGGATCACATGACCACGGGACACTTTGACCATCATAAATATGAGTCAGTTGCCAAGCATCTGAATTTGGATCACGTGATAATAGGGATATTTCAGGGGTTATAAGTGTGAAAAATAGCATTAGCACTTAGACATATACAGTCAGCATATCACCCTCATTTTACTGTCTTCAGTAGGATGGAAGGCGGAGTCAACCTTAAGCCTGGTGAGATTCAAACTGCCAAATTGCAGGCAGCCAGCAGTCGGCAGAAGTAGCCTGCAGTACTGCACTCTAACCACTGTGCCACGACGGTGCCAAACGGTCATAAGTAATGTTTTTCAGTGCTGTTATAACTTTGAATGGTCACTAAATGAACTGTTGTAAGTCAAGGACTACCTGTATTTAGAATTTAGTCTTGTATGTGAACTGTTTCCCCTTTGAACTTGTCCTATTTGCATACCTCTCTTATTAAAATGTTTCCAGTGACTCATTTTGATTTTTCAATATGTAAGTTCAGAAATCTGCGACATAATACAGATCATTGCTAAAATTGGGTAATACTGTGTAATACTGAGTGTTTTATGTCAGTCTACTGAAGCAGTTCAGTTTTTGAAGACTTTTCCCTTTGGCTCATAATGGAATTCAGTAGCAATGGGGTTGTAGGACATTTTGATTTTCCAGCAGCTGGATTTAAATTCTTACCTTTCTTAATTTACTTTTTAACTAGTTTTCCTTGAAAGGGAATGAAATTGTTATAGCCACAATGTAGTGCAATAATAATCTCCCTCTCTTTATCAAGAATACAGCCTGAGATCTAGTTCACCAACTCTTCCAACTAAAGAAAATAACATTTAGGTTTCTGTTACTCCAGTATCATCTTTTGTACCACTGCCAGTGGCTTGAGTATCCATTAGTGGTTTTTTCTAGATATCATCAAGACGGCAGAAATTACCCTGCCAGCAGTAAAATAATTATCAAGAAGTAGCTCGACAGATAATCAAGATAATATGTTTTTTTGTAGGAAGTCACTTCTAGCCCTGCACATATACTGAATACCAATGAGCCTCTAATTCAGTCTCAAAAAGAGATCCAGCGCCAGTCCACCCTGCAACTTCTACGCAAAGTAATTCAGATCCCCGAGAATGAATCTGAACTCTCAGATGTTTTTGCACTGATTCACGAACTCAATAGCTCACGGCTCATCCTGTCTAACATGAATGAAGAAACGGTGACCATTGAGCAGACTTCCTGGTCAAACTATTATGAGTTTCCTTCTTCCCAATGCCTTCTCTGTAACAGCCCTTTATTCAAAGGAGGGCCAAAGTAAGTGAAAGTACAATTATTGCCACTTTTTTTAAACATGTTACATTTCCTTTTGAAAATTGTCAAACTTAGAAAAGAGAGCTGTTGCATTTGTATTTTTGTCACATTAATGATTGAAATGAAATGAAACTGTCAGAGGAACTACTTGTCCATAGACTAGAATGTTTATTTGCTCTTTTCCCCATGTCCTCATCCCAGAACCTGATTAAATATTTTTTTCTCCTGTAGCTTGAGAAAATTACCTGGGTAGTCTAATTTGGCTAATTGAGAGTCAGAAAGCTTTTAAGAGCCGTACAGTCACAACACAGGAAATATAATCTGAACAGACATTATGCCAGTGAGGTACAGCTCACTTTTCTTCAGAAAGAAATAAAAGATAATTTTAGTATCTGATTATGTCCGCTATTTTGCAATTTCCCTCTCCAACTGCATTAGCGGGATGAGGTGGTTGGGTTTCCCCCCCAAGCTCTTGAAAAGGCCGATGGTTATCAAAACAGGGAGCAAAAGAGACAAACTTCCACCCTTAAATGTTAAAAAAGTATGAAGAAACAAATAAGAGTAGTGTTGTCCTCAAGACGATTATGTATGGGTGTCCTATTTGAATGTAGAGCTCTTGCTGGAATTCTTGTGTTGTAACCCTAACCTTCTTTCAGATAAATAATATTAATCTGAGGTTTTTGTACCTTGAATCAACCATTTCCACATTAGACTGCCAGGAGGAAACTCAGATAGATGGTTATTTAACTATGCTTAGGTGAGACTTAGCAGGTAGCTGTATCTAAGGAGACTTGGCTGATACCAGAAATTCAGAAGGATCTGCCATGGCTTTTGTTTGAATGGGGGGGCAGGGGAGTGGCTACCTGGAAATTCCGAGACTGTTAAAATTAGTGCAATATTAATGCAATATCAGGGGTTTTCAATTCAATGTATAGAATGTGAAGAATGTGTGTTTGTGTTTACTTTCATAATCATAATGTGCACTGAAGATGGTATTTAATTTCATTATACGAGGTGCAGTGACAATAAAGTAAACTAAACTAAACTAAAACTGGGGAATGGAAAAAAAAAAGGCCTACTTCTGTACCATTGCCACAAATTTATATACATGAGGAATCAATGTAGGATTGAGGGCAAAGGAAGAAGAGAATGTGGTGGCTGGATGGAGTCACTGAAGCAGTCAGCGTGAGCTTAAACAGACTCTGGGGGATGGTAGAGGACAGGAAGGCCTGGAGGAATGTTGTCCATGGGGTCGCGATGGTCAGACTGGGACACGACTTGGGGACTAACAGCAACAGGAATCAAGATTAGTTTTACCGTAGTGGGACTGAAGGGAACTGTGTTCCAACAGTACAGTTTGGCCTGCCTGATCAGTAACAGAGCTACTTTGAAAATGCTTTGATTTTACTTGTATCTAGTTAAGCATTATAGGAAGACCCCTCTTCCATGCATTTCACGGATCAATATACATTTTTCTCTTCCATTTCCATAGCTCTCTTGCAGGTCCTCAGGAATGCTGGTTGTTAACAGCTAATCGTCTGCAAGTCGTCACTGCCCAGCTCAAGGTGTGTGTGAATGTGCTGTGCTTGGCCCTTCACAGCTTCAGTGATATCTACACTGGTGAGTTTAAAAGCATGGAGGCATTTATAAAATTGGAAGCTTCAAGGGGAAGAATACATTTAGGGTGTCTATTTATTCTCTTTATTTCCCAAATGAACCTGGGTTGTGCCTTTTTAATTTATAAACATGGAGCTTGAGATCAAGTTATTTTATGGTCTGTGTAACTTTTTCAAATCCATAATAACAACTGTTCTGTTTTTAATTATAGGTTTGTTTAATATTGGTAATAAGCTTTTAGTGAGCCTAGACCTTCTGTTTACAATAAGAAACCATATAAAACTTGGCGAGGATCCTAAAGTGACAATTAGCAAGATTTTGGAAACTGTGCAGGAACACACAGGTATTACATCTTTTTTTCTGCCTTTGCTACAGCTTTCACACATTACTTTGTAATACATTAGTTTTGCTCTAAGTGAAGTTTAATATAGCTTTTCCAACCAAATCTGTCCAAAATGCTGGTTTATTGATGATTTTGAGGAAAGAATTATCCAGAGGTGGTGATATAACTGCCATTTAATATTTCAACCTTCAAGAACAAGGAACAATCCTTAAAATATAAAACTTTTAACGGCTGATGTGAATCTTTGGTTGAATGGGGGAAATGGAGAGATTGCAAAAATTATTATTTAACCAAGTGAGAAAGTCAGTATTTAAGACAGATGGTTGGTGTTATGTAATTTAAGACTGAGTACCTTAATGCTGTGACTGCTGTGTGCAAAGAGTAGCGGGCTATAATTTGTGTGTGGCCAGTAAAAACAATATATTATGGAAGTCTTATTTCTTTGGATAATCTGTGAACCTTGAATAGAGAATTACTGAAATGTAAAGTTTCCTTCCTTAAAACAGTTTTTCCTTGCTTGTTCTAAGAGTGGGATATGAAAGTTACTGAATTGTAGTGACTTGCCTGTGGTTCAGGCATAGCTTCTAGATAATTGTTAGAACATTGTAGTCTTGGGTGCTGACCTGAGTGGGTGATCAGTACTATCTCTGTCATCTTTAAAACCACCATAGGCTTAAATATCTAATTTAACTAATGAGTAAGCAGTGTTGAGTCTGAGCAAGTTATAATTAAACTAATATTTCTGTGATATTCTCTGTTTAAAGCAAAAGTTTGAAACTCTCATGTTGGTGGTTTGTCATTACAGATAGGGATGATTTCCATGAGCCTTCTTGACAAAAATTATCCTCATTTGTTCTCTTCCCCCTTCCCTTCTTCCTCAGAGAGAAACCTGAGCACTGAAGAGGTGAATCAGCTTGAGGAACTGCTGTGCAATGGATACTGGGCCTTTGAGTGCCTCACTGTCCGAGACTACAATGATATGATCTGCGGAGTCTGTGGCATTGCACCAAAAGTTGAAATAGCTCAGAGGAATGTGGAAAGTGTTTTGTCACTGAAAAATATTGAGGTAGACCAGGAATGAGTTATTTTAAAAGCTGCACTTGTTTGTTAATCTTGATGTGCATATTTTGTTCAAACATCACCCTTCTACTATAGAATCTGCAAAGGTGGGCCTTTTTACTTCAGCAAAATTGATGAGTTGGTTTTCTGTTAACACTCCCTTTGAAATAAAAAGCAATGCAACAATAAAAGAAACAAGAACAAGAAATGATAACAGTTTCTTGATAAAGATTAAAATAATGTGTACACTACAAATTAAACATTTATACTTTTCTTTCCTCCTTTTTTCAATGCTAGTTTACCTGGCCAGAATTCTTGGCATCTAGTGAGGTAAATGTGGAAGATTTTTGGTCAACCATGGAGACAGAAGTCATAGAGCAAGTGGCCTTTCCCTCCAGTATACCTATCACAAAGTTTGATGCCTCCATCATAGCTCCCTTCTTTCCACCACTAATGAGGAGCAACATAGTAGTCAACACAGAAAGGGAGAAGAATCTTGAATCACATGTAATCCCAGGTGGCAATCAAAATTCTTGTCTTGTTTACCTTTTTAAGTAGCAGTTTTGATGGTATCCAAAGTGTCACTAATATTAAAAACTCTATGCTTTGCTATAAAGGGGTGTGCCTTTATGAGATTGTCCATCTTAGATAGCACACTAGCCCCAGTTATGCATGTGTTGGGCTGCATAGGGATAACTATGTAATGGTTACTTTTTTCCTGTGGAATATTGGTGTAGGGACAGTTTTTAAAGCAATGCTTTCATGCTCATAATGCTTCCAGTGTTTATATTAGACATGGTTTTATTTCTGTGAATTCTGATTCATGAACATGACATAGATATGGCCTTCAGACATGGGATTAAGGCTGTGTCCTCCCTTTTTGGAAATGATGCTGACCCTAGGCATGTGCAATTACTGAGGATTGTATCTTGCTTTTTCAGGTAATGCAAGTGTTCTAGTGAGGCTGATTCAAGATGAAATTTGTAAAGTGGAACAGATTGGTTCCTACAGTGAGGAAGAACTGCAGGATTTCTTGACACAGTGCAGCATTCCTTGGCAGGAGGGGGACTCCAAGGTAATCACAATGTTCTTCAAGCATAGAGCCATGCTTCACTTTTGAAGGAAGCACTACTTCTGTCCAGTGCCTACATAATGTAATGTCCCTCTCTCTATAATAACAGCAATAGCAGTTAGACTTATATACCGCTTCATAGTGCTGTACAGCCTTCTCTGAGCAGTTTACAATGTCAGCATATTGCCCCCAACAATCTGGGTCCTCATTTTACCGCCCTTGGAAGTATGGAAGGTTGAGTCAACCTTGAGCCCCATCAGGATCAAACTCCAGGATGCGGGCAGAGCCAACCTGCAGTACTGCTTTCTAACAACTATGCCACCACAGGTCCTTTCTATGTTTATTAGATCTGTAAAAGTAAATGTTTTTAATTTTGCAAATGATTAATAATGATGAAGTGCATTTTACCATAAAGCTACTCAATCTTTTGTGTCATTCTGAGGCAAAATAAGGCCTGTGGGTCACCTCTGCTCGATGACCTGCAATTGTGCCACGTTTTGTCTTCCTAACCTGTCTGTCTCTATCCTCCTTGACTCTGCATGCTGCTGGCTATTTGTAAGCTAAGACTGTTTGAAAAACTCGGCTGTCTGTTTTTTTTCTTTTTGTTTCTTAGGAGCAGCTCTGTCTTTCTCTTCTGGCTCTTTATGATTTTGTACAGAACGGGACACAAATCAGTCAGCCTCCAGCATTCCTAACAGGAGGAAAAATCTACAAAGTGTGTCCACATCAGGTGAGGCTGACAAAAAAAAAATACTAATATGTAAGGTGCTCATGATGAAAATGGCCATATTGGAAAACGTGAATATTTCAAGAGTGGAAACAAACCCCGGAATTTTAGAAGTATGTTGGGAACATGGAAGAATGTTTGAAGAGGTTTAGTTTTGAGTGTTCCAGCTGTTCTTTAATCCTGAGATGGGCTGTAGTTTTGTGATTCACAATGTGGCTGTTATTTCCCCCCCGGTCTGGTCAGTGCAGCAGCAGGAACCAGTCATGTCACTGTTGTTGGTTTAAACTAGATTAAATGGACTGGCATTTTAGATAAAGTATGAAACAGAAAAATGGAATTGTGCGCACAGCCAGACAGAATGCTGATCACAGCTGCATAACTGCTATTCTGCCCTATAGTCATTGTGGCATTTTTATAAAAACTTTGATATCCAGAAGTTAGAGTTAATGGGGATAGATGGGTGGATTCACAAAATTTATTTTGTGGGTAGGTAAAGGGATACTTCAACACTTGTTTGACACATATGTTGCTAATGCTGCTAAGACTACATATATCAGGAAGACTGCCAATTGCTCCCTTGGGTTTGGGCCTAACAGGAAAGCTGCAAGAAAAAGAAAATGCTGTTGCCTCTAAATAATTGGTCAATTCTTTTTTTAAGAATCAGTTTTTAAGAATCAGTGTTTACATTAGTAAACACTTGTAGGAGAGAGGTGATAATGGAAAGGCATATTGTTAAGTTTAACTGCTGTTAGTCTTGTAAAAAAATTATAAGATTGCACATCTGTTTTCTCGTTTCTTTTGGGGTTTTATTTGAAGGTTTTCAGTTTTCTTAAAAAGGTTTCCTTGATAGATTTTTCTGTGACTTGGAAGGTAATTTTCATTCAGTATGGGCTATTATCACCCTTTTTTTTTTTGACCCTGAAATAGAAAACAAAGTAATAGCAACTGCTGCTCCCAAGGTCTTAAGTGTTTTCTGTGCTCAAAAAGAAAAGAGAGAGAGAAAGAGAGAGAGAAACAAAAACACTGGAAGCCACTTAAGTTTTAGTTAAATGAAACAAAATACATATCACGTCTTTTAATGAATATGTTGAATGGGATTGATTTAATCTCAGTTTGAAACAAATCACATTTTCTATTTAGTGCCCATCTCTTACTAATATGTTATTCCAGAATAGGTATGGATGATTCCTATAGTAGAAAATGTACTTTTAAGGATGGTGAAACAGGCATGGACACATACTTTTGTGTTGTTCCAGGAGTGAACAGTGTTACAAATATGTAAAATAACTAAGTGGGGGGGGGAGGGGGGGGGGGGGGGGGAGAAAATTAACTAAATCTACTTTAAAACTGACATTCATTCTACCATTCTATCCTTGTTCCCATTACATCCTTCTACCTGAATATATAAAAGCATAAAAGTATAAAATATGAATATATTTTAACAAATCATATATTTTCTGTTTTAGCTAAGTACATTAGCATAATAATGGATCACATAAGATGCCTTTTTCCCTCTTATATCCCTATTTGATATTAATAGTATTTTGATATAATTTGATGTTTGCCTAGTGTAAAGGAATAAGCTTCTATGTGATGAAAATTACATTGAGTGTTCTAAAGTTTGAATTACAAGTGTAAATTATTAGGATTACCTTGAGTGAGTGTTTACCCCCAGGTTCTTTTGTTGTTCTATAATCTTTCTTGATCTTTTTTTTTCCTTTACAGGTTGTGTGTGGTTCAAAATATATTGTCAGAGGGGAAACTCCCCGAGACCATGTGGATCTATTAATGTCCTCACGTCATTGGCCACCAGTCTATGTAATAGATATGGCCACTTCCGTAGCATTGTGCGCGGATATCTGCTATCCTGATTTGACTGCTCAGATGTGGGGAAGAAACCAGGGTTGCTTCTCTGACCCTATGGAGCCTTTAAGGGTTAGTATTCCTTTAAAGATTAAGTTCCTTACCGATACCTTGACATGTCTGGAACAGTTATCATGCGTAGTTTTTCTGTTTCTTTGACAAAATCATGGCTAATTTAAATCTGTTGATTACTTTGATAATAATTGTGTAAATGATATTCTCTAAAACTTATGGTATTAGATGACCTATGTAGCTCCTTCAACAGTACTTATTCCCGTTTATTTAGAACACAGTATTGGAATAAGTAAGGATTTTATCTATTGTCTCCCTCTTAAATTCATTTTTTAAATCAGTTGAAGAGTGCAAAACGTCTCTTTTCCAGAACACCAAGAATGGATCTGTATTGATCCTCAAAATTTAATATATCGATTAGAATGAGAAAGACAGGCTGGTTTTTTTTTCCTAATCGCTAATCATGAAGGAATATTTTTAGGGATGATCATTACAATGCCTTCTTCCATCTGAAAATTTGGGGTCACTTCCCCTTTCTTTTGCAATGCACTTTACAAAAAAAGCTACATAAATACATATAATTCCAAGTTTTAAAAATTACATCATTTAATTCATATATTCAAGATGTGTATTTATATCATCATCATTTGTTCTTGACCGCTTGGTCGAAATATTCTCTTTAGGAATGGTCAGTTACTCTTTCAATTTTATAGATGTATGCATGATATGAGAATGTACAGGTTGTATTCAAAGAGCCTTCAGCCAAACACTTTTGAATTTTTCAAATCTGTTGTGCTCTCTGTTGGATTATTTTGAATTATGTTCATATTTTTCTTATTGCTAAGCCAACTTTGAAGACTATAAATACAATTTTCTAATGCATACATCGCTTTTTGTCTTGCTTTTTCCCCCCTGTCAGTATGTGTCCTGCCCAGAACTCCTGGACAGGCACTACAATGTGGATACAACCACTGATGAACATTCTGTTGAGCATCCAATCACTAAATCAACATCTCGCTTTGTAGTTCACACTGGGACCGAGCAGAAGACTCAAGGTGATCCACTGGCTCGACACCATTCCCTCTCTCTGTGCCGGGAATTGGAGCCCTACGGTGCTATCATTACAGCCATCAATGACAGCAAAACCAATAATGTCCGCCAAAACCCTATAGCATTTGATAGTGCAACCCACTATTATCTCTACAATCGTTTGATAGATTTCCTCTCCAGTCGTGAGGTTGTGAACAGGCAGATCCACGAAATTGTTCAAAGCTGCCAACCTGGTGAGGTTGTAATCCGGGACAATCTATATCGTCTTGGTGTTGCCCAGATCAAGACAGAAATGGATGAAGATGAGATACAAGAAGAAGAAGGTGTTGTCTAATGTATTGTGAGATGATCATCCCTGGATCAGACGTAATAGCTAAGCAGTTTGTCACATAAAGTTTCAATCCAGCACAGGACTATGTTAAACTAAGAGTCATGACCTATTGATTGGGCTTTGATCTGTAAACAGATTGTTTTTGAAGAACAAATTTCTCTTTTCAAGAGGCTGGGTAAACCTAGAAGCAACCCAGGATAATTGTTCAAAGACCGAAGAATTTTCTATTGCTGACATTAAAAAGAAAATACATATGCAGAACATCACTTTTTAAAATCTGCGCATGTTGTTGGAAATGCATAAAAGTGGGGGGGGGGGGGGGGGGAAGCCACAGCATAAAACATGTATGACTGCTCCACTGTTCTGAAGTGGCCATCATAGATTGAAGGATATTTGTAACCTAGATCTATTAAGTTTCTATTCTGAAAAAACTTGAACTTTGAATTGGCATTGGTGGCTTGAGTTTATCTGCTTCTTCAGCTTGTTCCCCGTCAATCTGAGAAAACCAGACATTATTTAGTGGTTGAAAGTTAAACTGGCTTCCATATTAAGTTACATGCTGCTAGAAGCATCATTGCCCTGACAAGCCTGGTTATTTCAAAGGTTCTTCAGGGGTTTATATGTTTTGGATAAAGGATGGGGGCTAATAGTCAGGCGGGGATATTCAGGCACTTTACTTTATAATCCAGTTAATGGACTTAATTGATTGTTTTATTCCTCTGACCACAGATGCTACTAAAGATATTTATGGAATAATGGTTGGGTTCCAGGAATACAATCTGATGTTTTTTCTAATGATTTCTATGGCTAAAATTGTTAGGCATGCAACATAACACTTACCTTTAAGGGCCACTTGGAAACCACTACATACTCTACTATTTGATTGTTATAAATCTGACATATGAGTTCATGCTGTCATATTCAATTATTACATATTGGTTTTCCTGTGTAATGTGATGAGCCATGATGTGTAAGCTCTACACTGTTCACTGATTTGTGTTCATTCTTAGCCATCCATAAATCTCAAAAGTAAAAAAAATAGATTTCCTGACTGAGGTAAAGTTATCCACTATGTTTTGTTCAGATTTGTGGTGTGGATTTAAAACTCTCTTCTGTGAAGAGTTCTAGTGTGTACTGTGCTGTAAAAAAACAACGAAAAAGAAATTTATTAAAGTTCTGAGCAAAACTTACGACTTGCTGTTTAAAATGCTAATTTATGAAATACAGTTTTTAAGTCAGTGGTAAACTTTAATAAATTATCTCTTCCAGCGTTGGAGAGTAAAACTATTTGGACAAATGAGTTTTCCTTATTTTGTAGCTTCTGGTTGCTAAATAATAGAGTTACTAATCCATAAAATGGAAGTGTTTATCAAATGTTTGCATGGAAAAGATTAATTTTAGATGTGTTGAAACAGTATTACTATTTTATTGTCTTTGAAAAAAAACAAACCCCTACAGAATCTATTGATGCTGAATTTAAATTGTTTTCATTATAATACTTAACGATTGGGTAATTCGAGCCAGCATAAATGCATGTTTTGTTTTCTTAACTTTATAATCTGAGCTCATTTAGATGTTATGAAGGATAAAAACAGAATATGAATGATTTGTATCTATTTTTAATATTCAATTAGATTTTGCAATTCTCATTTATTATGACAGATTAATACACTCCACAAATGATTTGCAGATCTAGTTTCGCAGTCCATGCATACTGCTTATGCTTCTATTTTTTTCCTCTCATTCAAAAAATTAAATGTGCTTTTACTCTACAGTTTTGTTTTATTGTGTCTATCTGAAATAGTATTAATTTCAATGGTTTCTAAACTAAAGAAACCATTTTCTGAGTTTCGCTACTGTACTAATCATTCTACTCTTGTAGTACTGAACTATTTCCCTTCTCACTGCTCATGCAGCAGAGGGGCTAAACCAGCACTTCAACATTCAGGATAGAATAATGCTTTATGTATGCTTGGTTATTTATTTAAAGGATCTGTATAGCTGCTGAAGTTATATAACGTAACTCTAGGTGGCTAATAGGTAAACAAATAACAATACAAAATTTTCTCATACCACCAAACATCATAATAGTTCCATCACAAATTAAAAAATGACAGACTTTCTCTCCTCTCTCCCCCAACCCCGGTCTTAGTAGCCATATTAAACAATTATACAAGAGTTCATAGAATCAGACAATCAGGTTGCTGGGTTTTGTTTTTCTTAACATAATTACTTAAGTACTGCTGCAATTAATATAATCATCTAATATTTACTATTGGGAATTTGTAAAAATCAACCTTGTAAAGTTTACACGGGGGAAAATAAATTGATTTAAAAAAAGAGACTGCAAGTTACTTGATCAAATTGATTTATTTTTCATGATAGTTGAATTACAAATAAATTCACATTTATGCGATTATTACATTAAGATGCTTGAAACAGTAGTTAATTTTTTTTTAATAGCGATCTGGCAATATCTGAGCACTAGTAATCTGTTAGTTGGAGTTTCGTGCAGTAAAAAGACATGTTCCCTTCCTAAGTCTATTCATAGGTTTTGTAATTTATATAAGACAATTGTGGCTAAGCATCATGAATATTTTCATTTGTGTGAGCTTCAGGGACGACTGCTTAGCAAGGTGAATAATCTTATATAAAACCTGTGTAAAAAGTATTAAACAGAGCAATTATTTAACAGTGGGTAAATCGTTCCAGTTATTTGGAGCTGTTCGGGTCTAGTGCAAGTTTAAAGCCATCACTGGGAAACAAACAGGACTGTGCTAACTGAAAGAGATTGCAGTGTAGGAGACCCTCTTTTTAAATAGATAAAGAATGCATGAACTTTGTAAACAATTTACAAAAAAACATGTAAACAATTGTATGGACTTTTGTAAATAATTGCTTTGCTTTATGGACTTTGTAACTTTGTAAACAATTGTTCCACTTTAACAATTCTAAAGAGTGGTGCTTTGCACAGCCTTATCAAATAGAAGTGCAGCTCAAAGACAGTAAAACATCTGTCCTAGCAACTTGAGCACATACATACAATCACCAGTGTTTCAGGCATAAATACTTATTAAATGTCCCACACCGATTGCCCATTTGTCCTCTAATAGGATATTTTTAAAATCCTTTATTATCTATAAAAACAGCTTGGAAAAAATACCTGTCAGTAGTCTTATGTTGCCTGTAGTTTGCTTGTTCTCTTGAGTTTACAAAATACTACAGTATGTAGCTATGCTTTTTCTCAGCAATGCAAAGGGAAGATAAATACTAGAAACTAAAAGATCAGTTTAATCACAGAATAAGGAATGATGGAGTGATAAAATCCTACATAATAATGAAGACTATATAATACATTAAAAAGCCTGACTGAAATAATATTAGGATTTTGCCATGTAAACTTCTGATCCTGCTGAGCTCTTTAAAAACAAACACTAGTATGTTAAATGATATTCATGGAATGGCAGTTTGGTAGCTCATCGAAGTGCAATTCTTATGACCACTTCCAGTTCACAACTTAACAGCTGTGTTGTGTGACTAAGGTTCCAATTAGGACTTCAAACTAATATCTTACAATAACTTAATATGAAGATAGAATGTAGCTGCATCTTCTTAATTCAAAAATGTACAGTTCTATCATTTCACTGAGCTATAATTTCAAGTACTACTACTATTTTACTGTACTCTAATTCAGTAGTATGTGAAGGATTAGATTCTCCTTACATCTGGTGGGAAGACTGAGAGGCATCATCTTCCCATAGAATAGAATAGAATAGAATAGAATAGAATAGAATAGAATAGAATAGAATAGAATAGAATAGAATAGAATAGAATAGAATTCTTTATTGGCCAAGTGTGATTGGACACACAAGGAATTTGTCTTTGGGGCATATGTTCTCAGTGTACATAGGAAAAAAATAAAAATATATTCATCAAGAATCATAAGATACAACACTTAGTGATAGTTATAGGTTACCAATAAACAATCAAATCATACTAGGAAACAAATAAAACAATATAAATTGTAAAGATACAAGTAACACGGTTATAGTCATAAATGGGAAGAGATAAATACTAGGAAGGATGAGAATAATAGTTTGACAGTAGTGTGGGAATTAATTGTTTAACAGAGTGATGGCATTCGGGGAAAAACTGTCCTTGTGTCTAGTAGTTCTGGTGTGCAGTGCCCTATAGCGTCATTTTGAGGGTAGAAGCTGAAACAATTTATGTCCAGGATGTGAGAGGGTCTGTAGATATTTTCACAGCCCTCTTTGATTCGTGCAGTATACAGGTCCTCAATGGAAGGCAGGTTGGTAGCAATTGTTTTTTCTGCAGTCCTAATTATCCATTGAAGTCTGTGTCTGTCTTGTTTGGTTGCAGAGCCAAACCAGACAGTTATAGTGGTGCAGATGACAGACTCAATAATTCCTCTGTAGAACTGAATCAGCAGCTCTTTGGGCAGTTTGAGCTTTCTGAGTTGGTGCAGAAAAAACATTCTTTGTTGTGCTTTTTTGATGTTAGGTGTCCATTTTAAGTCTTGAGATATGATAGAACCTAGTAATTTGTAGGTCTCTACTGTTGATACTGTGTTGTCTAGTATTGTAAGAGGTGGTAGTATGGGAGGGTTTCTCCTACCACCATTTCTACGTGATATCTTCCCACCAGATAAGCTGTCCATCAAGAGATGGACAGTATTTTCCAGACTAAGCTAGTAGTCAAATTAAGCTAGTATTGTAACATATGCATTAAACTCTAGAGCAATTGATAAAATGGAAACTAGAGTTTCCATTTTACCAATTATTCTAACGTTTAACACATACGTACATACAAATGCATGTATGCAATTATGCATTGTGACCTTCCCAGGGTCAAAAAGATATGACCCGAAATAATTTGCACTTATTCTTTATTCCCATCTAATAGATAAACATTGAAAATCAGGAAATTTAAAAGCAACGATCTTTACAATTCATTTGGAAATAAGTTTGATTTCACTTAATAGTCTTTGATTTGAAATAAACATATGTAAGGTTATATTATAAAGTATTCATTAATAACAAGTGAACCTATCTCTAAATCTAATCTTAGCTAACAGGCTGGTTTTTACAGAAAAACATGGTACAGGTAGTCCTCAACTTACAACAGTTCATTTAGTGACTGTTCACAACGGCACTGAAAAAAGTGACTATGACTATTGTGGCATCCCCATGGTCATGTGATTGACATTTGGATGCTTGACAACTGACTCATATTTGACGGTTGCAGTGTCCCGAGGTCATGGGATCCTCTTTTGAAACCTCCTGACAAGCAAAGTCAATGGGGAAACCAGATTTACTTAACAGCCATGTTACTAATTTAACTACAGTGATTCACTTAACACATGTGGCAAGAAAAGTGGTAGAATGGGGCAAAGCTCACTTAACAAATTTCTCACTTAGCAACATAAATTCTGGGCTCAATTGTGGTCATAAGTCGAGGATTACCTGTAATTAATTTATTGGTGGTTTTATGCCAGTTCAATACAGAGGGACAGCGAGTGGCTTATATTCCCTTCTTTCAGTAATAATATCCAAATAGCAAAACAATTATTGCCAAGTAACGCTCATGCTGTGAAATGGTAATGCCAAATGAGAGAAAAACAGAGTTGCTACTTCTTGAAGCTTAAAAAAAAAAAGTTTAGGAGAATTAGATTTATTTTCTTTTTTTTAGCTGGCCCAGCAGTTTTCTTCTCTATGATGGGTGAACAACTTTTGGCCCATCCTTTCAACCCATGCCAAAACTCAGTGGCAAAATGGTACAAGTTTGGTTATTTTTCCAGGTTTGGAGGTTGTTTCAAGGATGAGATGAATGCAGCGGCTCTCGAGAAATCTTCCCACCATCCTCCTTATGTTCAACAATCCTTCCTACTGCCAAAGGACACCTCTCTTCCAGTGACGTCCCCTTTTGGTTTGATTATCTGCCATGGATTTCAGTCTGCCCACCTAAGCTACAAGAAATGACTGTAGAATGGCAGGTTACAATGGGAATGCCTCCACTTCTTTCTGTTCCCTGTTCTTGCTCTGCAAAACCCCCACCTTGCACAAAATGTGGGTAATCTTATTCTTTTACCTCTCACATATCTAGTTTATAGGGTTGATAGCTTGTAGCAGAAAGGTATATAGAGAAAAGAAAGTAAGCCCACCTGCCTTATTAAGCTTTGTTTCCTGCGACTGCACAATCTCTCCCATTCTGCAAAGTTGAGGCACCGATTCACCAATGTCCTATATAGCTTAAGCTGTCAACAGTGATCAACCCCGCCCCTGCCAGTAGTTAGAATCAGGTAGAATGGGAGAATTTAGGAATCTGCTGTCAGTGCAAGGCATGAACCCAGTCTGTGACTTATGTATGACTCTCTTGTTTTCTGATGTGAAAAGCCTCAAAAAAGGGATTGGGGTTGCATGAAATCCAAGTCCAATCTCAGTTGGTATTTCATCATCCAGAAGGCCCAGAACAACACACCCTAACAAAACTGATAATTGTTGCTGTTAAGAAGGGGTTGCTCCACTTCTCCTGACTCACAGGATTCTTCAAAGCAGCCGGTAGGATCACATCCACTGTCTTGCTCTTCTCTAGGGCAGGGCAAGTTTGTATAATCCTTCATGATACAAAGGAGGAGAGAAAGAAATGCAAACATACTTCAGAGTCTGGAATGTGTCATTTTGAAAAAGGTAAATTCAATTTAAATTACTTAAAATGTATTTACTCTGGCCTTGAGTCAATGTTGCATTGTTTATATATTTATCTACACAGAGTACCCAAGCTGTTGTTTATATCATTTTACCTTTCTTATTTTTATTTTGCCGTGCATACAAATGACTGTGTTTGGGTGTATATGGGGAGAACAGCATTTAAAGGAGCAGCATAAGGTGTTTTGGGAGGGTTTTTTTATGACAACTTTTGTGACAAAATGAAAAAAAAAATGTGGAAGGACAATCTTGGCTGAACCAGCTTCTTGTTTTTGAATTTTATAAAATAAACCATTCACCTGTTCCTTAATGGCATCCAGCTGTTTCTGAATTAAGGTGCAGATCTGACTGAAAGTTGGCCGTTGAGTGGGCTCCAATTTCCAGCATGCCGTCATTATATTGTACCTGCGTTGGAGATGGAAGGTGGGCAAGGAAGAAAATACTTTCAGAAGCAAATTGCATGATAATACGTGACAGCTGATTGGAAATCACCTATGGTTCTGCCTCTTTGATCTACTTGGGCACTCCTATTCCTCCTTTGGCGTGGTTCAGACCCCATGACCCATCTGAGTTTTCTTGGAAAAATATTATGAATGAATGAATGGGGAATTACCCTGTTTCTCCAACAATACGGCCTCCCCCAATAGGAAGTCCCAGCATGTTTTATAGGCATGAAATGAAATTAAGCCCCTCCCCCCAAATTAAGGCCTATATTAAAACATGCGAAATGGGGGGGAATGGTGTGGGGGGGGGGCTTGCCGTTAGGAAGTACTTTTGTTGCACACTCGGATATGGTGCTGCCTGCGTTGACCCCGATACGAAGTGCCCCACCAACGCCGAGGTCAACATCCAAGTTTTCGCCGCCCGCCCGCCCGAAGATGCAAGTGGGGGGGAATTAAGTCACCCCCGAAAAGACGACCTAGCCATTTTTTCAGGGCTCAAAAAAAAAAAAGACCCGGCCTTATTATATGAGAAACACGGTAGCAATTAGATTACTGATGGGTCTCATAAAGCTTCTATTCCAGACTTCCCATGTGTGCCCATTAAGTTCAATGAGATGAATGAATGAATGAATGAACGGTTTGAGCACCTGGAGCTGCAGTTCTTTTACTTACATATCATCTGGAGCAAAATCTGGCTTCCCCATATGATATCCTTGTTTCACAAGGCTGTAAAACTTATTATTCACTTTTATGCCAGGATAGGGACTTCTTCCTAGAAACACAAGAAAATTGGTCATGCTCATATGGAGGAAGGACCCTGCAGTTTTAGAATGCTCCCTATAGAAGTAGCTAAATTTTCTTAGGAATCAGTTTCACCTTGGCCATTCTTTGCAGGCAGTTTGAGAGCACAATTGGAGGAAACAGAGGCACAAGGGCAATGGGCAAGCATTTTTCAGGCAAGGGGCTACACATCTATATCCCATCGTGCTTGGGCTTTGCAGTGGTCATGGTTAGTGTTGAGAGATGAATGTTTCTGATTGTTCTAAGACTAAAAGTATTTAGTTTTTGGAGCAGGGTCGAAGGGACAAAATCTTTCCCATTAAAACCCACCAACAATGGGAAATATCATCTTGATTTAAGATATTAATTTTTTTTTTAAAGGAATGCTATGAAAGCCTTCCATTCATAAAAACTTTTCTCAACTCCTCACAAATGAAGTGTCTCCTGCTATTCGTCTGCAGCAAGGCAAGACTATATTGAAATAATAGCACACATATAGTCCAAAAACTGCTTGGATATACTGGCATCCCTATATACAATGCACACATGTAAGTCTTGCCAAAAAGGCTAATTCAGTCCTAGGCTGCATTAACAGAGGGATAGAATTAAGATCACGTGGAGTACCACATATTTTCCAAAGCACCAGAGGGCAGGATAAGAAACAATGGATGGAAACTAATCAAGGAGAGAACCAGCCTAGTACTAAGGAGAAATTTCTTGACAGTGAGAACTATTAACCAGTGGAATGGCTTGCCTTCAGAAGTTGTGGATGCTCCATCACTGGAAGATTTTAAGAAGACATTGGACAGCCATTTGTCCAGAATGGTATAAGGCAGGGGTGTCCAACCTTGGCAACTTTAAGACTTGTGGACTTCAACTCCCAGAGTTCCTCAGCCAGC